TTTTTTTTTAACAAAAACAAATTAAAAAATTCTTGCATTTACTTGGTGTACAGTGCTTTAGATAGTACAATAATAATGCCTTCCCCAAGCTGATGTCCCCCAGATGTTTTGGACTTAAAACGTCCAGACTTCCTGATTGCTGGCCATACAGTCAAGCTATTACCCAACTCAGTTTGGAATCTGTGCTCTCAGCTTGTAATTAAGGACAGTTTGTTTGGTTTTTTCCAGGAGCTAAAATCCTGTACCTTGGTGCAAATTCATCAATGGTGAGACCAGCCCGCAGTCCAGTTCTACAGTATTCCAAGCCATCAGCTATTGTATAAGCTAATTCCAAAATGGCATCAGCTCCAGCCTCCTGCATGTGGTATCCACTGATAGAAATAGAATTAAATTTGGGCATGTACTGCAAGAAAAACAAAGGGTACAACTTTGTTCTATAACAATACTTAACACTTGAGTACTACACCAAAACAATGCTAACAACAACTATTAATTAAAGTAATACCTTTGATGTATATTGAAATATGTCAGCAATTATTCGCATTGATGGCTCTGGGGGGAAAATGTATGTATTTCGAACCATGAATTCCTTCAGTATATCATTCTGTATTGTTCCTGTCAGCTTAGATTGAGGCACTCCTTGTTCTTCCCCAGTTACAATGAATGTAGCCAGGACAGGGATTACTGCTCCATTCATTGTCATTGAAACGGACATTTTCTCCAAAGGAATTTCATCAAAAAGAATTTTGGTATCTTCTACTGTGTCTATGGCAACTCCAGCCATTCCAACATCACCGCGAACTCGAGGGTTATCTGAATCATAACCACGATGTGTTGCAAGATCAAATGCAACTGATAATCCCTGCTGGCCAGCTAAATGTCCCCAAAAAGAATAATAAAAAAGGTTACAATTTAAACTCCAATGTTTGTAATTTTAATTTTGGGTCACATGGGACCCCAGGTTAAACTTATACTTTTGTCATTTTCCATTCATTAGTGTAAAATTATTATCCTTATTATTAAAAAGATGGTAATTCTCACACTAGAAAGAATTTGTGAATAGTCAACAGCAAGTTAAGTACAGTTCAAATAAATTAAATGAAAAATAATGAAAAAATCTGATTCACAAACATAGTGAGGCAGTGTAATAAATTACTTGAATAAATTGAATAAATTACTTCAATTTATTTAATTATTCATTTAAATAAATTGAAGTAAATCACCTTCAGCATCAGTCCTGGCAAGAATGAAGTAGTAATATGAAGGTATTGAAAGCATGAGCATTTGAACACAAATTCCAAATCCCTGGCCAAAGGTGACTTTTTCCAACAGAATGGGAGTGGGGAGCAAATCTTGGCTTGTGTTCCTTTTTTCACCTCACCTACCCTCCCACTTCAGTTCAATCTGGGAACAGACATTGGATAATATCCAGTTTAATACTCCTGGCAATAGAATAGCTGCCACCAGCCTCTTTGCCCTCACATGCCCTTTAAATATATTCTAGAGAGATGTTTCAGAGCAGATTTTGAAGGGACAAATTGAGGGACACAGGAAAGATGGAGTCAGTTTTCTTTTTCATGTAAATTTCTGCTCACATGGCATTGGATTGTGCACAATGCATTCAGAGAGTATCTTGTTACAGACTACTCACAGAGACATCCAGGATTCAGTTAGAGTCTATTTTCCATCCACACTAAACAAGGTGAGAAGAAAATTAGTGCAAGCACTAGAGTCACTAAGGCCCTATTTATATTTAACAAGGTGCATGCTGCTACCATTTGAAATTGGCAACTGAGTTGTTTAGCCCATATTAACCCATAGTATCTGAGTTCACATACATATCACAGAGCAGGAATTGGCAGCATACAATCATAGTTTAAATATGTGCAAAGTAGGTATACTTCTCATACCAAGCTGAAACTTAGGAGGCAATGTCCCAGTTTCTACAACTGCCATGTTCTACAATTTGTGTATCAATTAGTGTATCTAACCTGTATTATATAGAAAAGATAACACTTTGCATAAATATGAACACACAGTGTCATAAGCTGTACTAACCACACTGAAACTAATTCTGCACAGAAGAATGATTTCAACAGATAAAAGTATTTGGGAAGAGCCTCAAAGATCTGTTCCCTTTTTTAAATTTTTGTTTATTTTCTTCCCAATCATTTCTGGAGAAACACTGGTTATCATGAATAACAAGACCCTGCTCAAATAGCTTCATTTCCTCATCATTCTTGATGGTGTAGCATCTCAAAGTACTTTAGAACAGCCTTCTCCTATGCAGAATTAAACATACCTAAGCACGCCAATCACAATAGGTTTAAAAATGCCTAACTCTGCATAAGAACAAGCTGTAAAGGAAGCACAGAAATGAAAAACAATGTCACACACAGCAAGCCAGTAGCAGAATCAAGACAGACACAGACTCAATTAACATTTTCTTAAACATCCAAACTCTTTGCTTTAAATACTTCTGTTAACTCCTACATGTGAGGAACATATTAGTAAATTGCAAATGACATTTGATACCTTATTTTAACAGCATTTCCAAAGAGCCAATATATACACACAAAATACTTTCTCTCTTAATACCCACATATCATAGCAAGAGTGACTTAAAAAATGGTTTCTTAGTTTTTATTTTAGAGGGAGAAAGGAAGCACAAAGTGTACATATTTTGAGAAACTGGCTATGTAAAAATGCTATTTTGTGTTGTAGTATAGTATTATTATACCATAAGAAAACCAACAGAAGTTGAAAACAGTTTGGAAACTTGCCACTTTTATTCAATAAGCATTTTACTGCCTATGCCAAATAGAATCCAATCAGTGGGAATCAGTAACTTGAGTTAGAAAATATATTTGTTTTTGTCAGGCCATGAACTGCTTCATAACTTCTAACTACACTTTCTTTGCAGGATGGAAACAGGGAAAACATAGTTGTATGCTATTTTTCATTCTTTGTTCTGGCAGTGTTTGAATAACCATTATTATCAAAACCAGATACTTATAATAATAGTTAATTATGTATGTATGTATTTCAATTTTAAACCACTCCATAGCCAAAGTTCTCTGGGCAGTTTATAACAATCCAGCTGCTTCTAAGTAACTTCTTGTGGACAGTTACAAAAATAAGTTGCTCACCCTTTATGTTGTCCTTGTAGAACCTATTGCTTTCCTCCACAGTACTGAAACCAGCATACTGTCGGATGGTCCAAGGTCTGTAGGTATACATGGTAGGATAAGGGCCGCGAGTGAAAGGTTTTACGCCTGGCAATTCTTCAGGAAAGTCCTTTGTGTCCCGTGCAGAGTACAGTGGCTTGATGACAATTCCCTCTGGAGTGCGCCAGATCAACTCTTCTGGGTTCTTGCCTTTTAACTGCTTTTTGGCCATTGCAATCCATTCTGGGTGGAGTGTCTGGTCATGCAGCAAGCGCCAACTGTGCTTGTATAGAGGTGCCCCTGCTTCTTTCCTGTAATGGAAGGGCCAGAGGCGCAGAAGTCCACTCTTGGCCCTTAACATTTTCTGCTGAGGAAATTAAGATGCAGCCTATGGAGTGAGATCTGAATATTACAGTGTGACACAGTGAATGTTGTCTCTAGGATAGCCCAATAGGCAGATTTTTACTTCTAGATGCCACTCCCACACAAAATATGTCATGTCACAAAAAGAAGCATGGATTGAGATTTGGACTGCTAAGATTCAAAATGTCATAGCTACTGTAAACTTTTTTACACAATTAAGAATCTAGAATTATACACATTTTACTTTTATGAAATAAAAACACTTGCTTCCCTCCTCCTATCACTGGCTAAATGATGTGAGTTCATGGAACATCCATGAATATTGCCAACTGCTCAGTAGTGCAAGGCAATGGTGTTTTGTTGATGGGAAACCAGGCAGCAGCAGCAGCAATGGATAGGTGGCACCTGCCCCTTCAGCCTGCCGGAATATGAGTTAGGAATGGGAGCGGAGCCTGGACGCATTCCAGATTATTCTGCTGAAACATTACTGCACTACTTTTGTTTTGTATTTTTATCTGTATTTTATTAGTATTAGTATTGTCATTTTTATTGTGGTTTTTATCTTATGATTGTGAGCTACCCAGAGGTGCTGTGGCACAATAGGCAGCTTAGAAATGTTTTAAATATATAAATAACAAATCATATGTGAAGTGCCACTGGAGAGGAGCCGCTGCAATTCTTCAGTCTCCAAAAATATTTGAAAACACCCATTTCGTCTGAAATTTATTCTGAGTTAAAATACTAATAAAACAAACAAAATATAAACCATTATTCCTTAGAAAGCCTATAACCTTTAGTTCAGGTATAGGAAACTTGTGGCCAAACCAGATGTTTTGACCTACTACTCCCATCAGCCCCAGCCAGTATAGCTCATGCTGAGGGATGACGCTGTAGTTCCCAACCTCTGAAGGGCCACCAAGCCACGCACCCCTCCCTCCGACTGAGCCCCACTTCATATCGATGTAGGCTCGCAACACTGAGCCACCTTCTGTGCTGACTTTTTCCAGTGGGGCCATGCTCAGCCTTCATATTCGCCTCAGATCTGGAAACCCCGTTCTGGGCAGAGAGTTACTGTTTGCAGTTATTCGGAGGCGAGGGCCGAGCACTTCACGGGGTGCCAACGGCACTCTTATTCCGCTAGATGTGGGCACCGAAACTGCTGAAGGTGAGCTGCACTTGGCTCAAACCGACACCTGAGGCGCGGATCTCTCAGCAGGAGCTCTGGCCGAGCCAGAGTCTCCCAGACGGGCGACAGGGGGAATGGAAAGGCACCAAAGTCGAATCGCGCCTCCAGTCCGTCTAGGTGCGGTACCTGCTGCTACTCCCGCGGCCGCCGCCGCCGCCGACACAGTAAGCAAGAGCGACTCGCAGGGGAGAAACGAAGCACTCTTTTGCGCAGGCGCGGGTGGGAGGCTTCGCCTTCCCCAGCACGCAAGCGCAGTCTAGTTTGCGCCTGCGCATTGAATCGGCGGGAAAGTTTTTCCACAGGGACGAAAGTCGCAGAGGGAAGAGAGAGCAAGTCCAGGAGAAAGGACGGCCGAAGGAGCGGCACCGAAATCGTCGCAGCAGCAGGCCTTGGATTTTACGTAAGATTTCCGGGAGTAAAACCGATGAGTTGCAGAGCGGGAGCAAAAGTTGTGCGACGGCATCGGCAGTCTGAGGTTGGGATTGCGGGCGGTGGGGCAAAATAACGGTTTAAAGCAACTATAACTACAACTCCCAGGATGCAACGCGCGCACTCTGGTTTAGTCACATGTTGCACGCATAACGTTCTTTGTAGTTTACGATTCGCTTTATAAGATGCGTGAAGTGTTAGTTTCTAGCGGGAGGCTTAAGTAGGCATGCCTGTGCGGGGGTAATGGGAAGAGGATTGTAAGCGAGGAGGTCGGAGTGACATAAATGCACCTCTGTCCCAAAAATTTGTTGTTGGGTTTGCTGCGATAGAGCCGCATGGCTCCCACTCTGGGGATTTCTAAAATTCAAATGATACTAATTTGATAAATTTCTTATCTTGTTGAGAGCCAGCGTAGTATAGTGGTTAAAAGAACAGGATTGGGACTCAGTTTATCTGGGTGCTAGTTCCCGTTCAGTCATGGAGCCAAGTGGGTGGCTTTGGATCATACACGGACTCTCATCCCAAGCTACCTCACAGGGTTGTAGTGGGTATAAGATTGAGAGCAGCAAGAGGAGAATGGTGTAAGCTGCTTTGAGTTTGGTGTCAGAAAAAAGTGGGATATAAATCAAAGAAATGTAAAATAGTTGCAGTGCCAGATACACAGGGATTAATAATATACAAGTCTTTATGTTATGCAACTATTGGAGTTTGTGATGTTTGTATTTCATTTTCCTCCAGTATCACTTCTGTCCACGGACACATCTGCTTGGCAACTGTGGATAACACTGTGTGCTTTGTGATAGATCATAGTCTTCCAAAGCTTAAGCTACAATACTCCTTTTTTTTTTTTTTTTTTTTTTTTTTTTCTAAATTTTATTTCAAAAAATTCTTTTTTTTTTTTTTTTTTTTTTTTTTTGCTACAACATATTAACACACATCCTTCTGGAAATTGTTTCAACTGTAGAAAAGCCCTTTGAATGCTGAGAGCTGTAGTCTTCTGTAAATCTCCTTTGAGTTTAGCCCAAGAATTAAAGGGTTCACAAGAACTTGAATTTAAGGAATTAGTGTTTATATATTATTATTTATTAAAAGCTTTTATATGCCATCCTATTATATATAAATCTCAGGATGGTTTACAATGTTTAAAAGAACAATTAAAGCAACAACAATTTCTAATAAATAAATTGAAACAGAATAATATATAAAACAAAACAAGAGCAACTGGACATTAAAAGTTGTCAGTTTTAAAATACCATTTAAATAAAAAGGTTTTGACCTGGCACCGAAAAGACTATAAGCTTGGCTCCAGGTGTACCTCTCTGGCAAGTACATTCCAGAGTCTGGGTGCCACAGCAGACATAAGGTGGCAATGTGATGACATTTAAAAACCTGTATTTATATCTTGACCTACCGAAATTTTTATATGAGAAAGTATTGACCAAATGGCCTGTGTCAATGGTGTGTGTATGCCCAAAAATACACAACAGGGGAAGGTTTTCTTTTAAAGGATTTATTCTCAAGAGTAGCTGGCTACCAACTAATTGTTTCAGAAGGTGAACCTGAGCAGTCCTCAGTTGACCCTTTTATAAACTGATCATTAAAGGATTACACTTAACACAGTTCACACTTTCCAATAGGATGCAGAAGTAAAAAGTTATAATAGTGTGTTCTTTCCCACCTGCATACCAGAGAAGATGCTCCAAAGGTGGCAGGAGGATGGGGTGCTTTTCCATAGAAGAAGAGGAGGATGGGGTGGGCTGGTGTGAAATGCTATATGTTTGAACTGCTATTATCTGTCAAGTGCCAACTAACTTTCTCTGGACCGGTGCCTGGTTATTGTCAGGTGCATTACAAGGATGCACACGTGCTGATTTGAGAAGAGTTTTTTCCCCCCTCAGGCCTGGTTATGTGCCAATGATTGCATGATTTAACCAATGAAAGTCATAGCTATTGATTTATTATTTTATTTCTTTGAAGCATTTTTACACACTCTTCAGCTGACAATGGTCCATGAGTGACTTACATTGATCAAAAGTAAGGCTACACCTGCCTGTGGGTGGTAATCAAAAAGACAGGACAAAGCATTAGGAAGAGGAGGGGAGAAACAAATTCAAAGAGCAAGTAGGACTTCAGCAGTTCATGGAACTGATCCAGGCATGATGTGGCCCTCCTTCAGTTCCCCTCAGTGATTATAGTTGTTAGCTTTGGGGAGAGAGGCTCTCAGCCAGAATTTATCCAGCAGGATGAAGGCTGCTGTTTCCTCTTCCTCTAGTGGCATTGGGAATAATGATTCTTGCAACATAATCCTGTGTATGTTTCCTCAGAAAAAAATCCCAACTGTACTTACTCCAAACAGGTGTGTAAACTGCGTATAGAAGGAGGGATAGGGATGGGGTGGGGAGAGCCATAGCTGAGGCTATTTCTCATGGCTGTGCCAGGGGGAGGGGGAGGGGGATAGGGATATGCAAGCCCTGAGGCTCATTATGTCTGATTTTTGTAATGTTAAATGGCATTTAGTGTGTTTCTTGCTAAATGTTCATCAACTCAATAGCTATGATCATTGGGAAAAAGAAGTCACTGTGGCTCCCTGTACACTGCATGATTTGCCTCATTATCCTTATTGGAGCATGGGTTGAAGTCTAATCGGAACCCAGTCCGGTGCACAGTGGGGGTGATTTCCAAACCACCCCGGAACCCTTGGCTTGCTTTAGGGTTCTGGGGTGGTTTGGAAGCTGCCCCATGTCATGCATGCTGCTGGGTTTGGATGACACCACGACTCATATACTGCACTGTATGTAGGCAAATAGTGTGGTGTGCAAGTGGGTTTGCCCAGGGATGAGCAAACTAAATGACCCTGGCTTCTTTTCCTCAGCGATCATGCCAATCTGGTGAGTGTGCATTGGTAGTACAAATGGAAGAAACAGTGGTTGGGATTATACAGCCTGGGTTCATATGCCATGCTAAAACACTTGTGGAGTATAAGCCATGGTTAGTGTGTTGTCTGAACCACCCATAGTTTTTCAGGGTGGTTTAAGTTTGGTTTATAAGCTACTCTGATGAGCCATGGTTTGTACTACCATTTGTTTCACCGTATAAGTAATCAGCAGAGTGCATCCCAAGCATCCAGCAAGTTGCTCATAGCATTACTGGTTTTCTTTTCATGCACTGGGCCCCAGCCTGTGACAAATAGCAAGGACAGAGCAGCCAAGATGGTAACACCTTAGCTGATGATGTCACCTGCTGTTGCTTGCTTGCAACATGCTTCATCAGCCGAAATGAGCATTACCCAAATTGGGCTGGTGACACAAGGCAGTAAGAAGGGGAAAATAAAAGGAAGACCTGGGGGCATGGAGGCAGGTGGTTAAGGGAAGAGAGATAATGCCCAGGAGAAAGGATGGCAGAATAGGAATGGAGGTATAGTGAAAGAATGGTGGAGGAAGGAACTTGGGAAAGACCAAGCAAAGATAGATTTACTTGTGAGGCAAGGCAGTACAAGAATGGGGAAAGAGTTATGTCATGGTCTCGGTCTATTTGGGAAAACTCACACTGGAGACTCTACTTTCAGGGGGTTAGGAGAGGGGAGAAAGGCTTTTTAATCCAGCCTTGGATTAATCCTAACTTGGGAGAGCTGACTGAGCAGCTTAGTAATCCAGCAGTTGGGAGCAGGGGAACGTGGAGCTCAGACAGGACAGTGTAATGGAGGCAAAGCCACAAGGGGAACTGAACTGTCTGAGAAGCAGCTGGCAGTACTAGGGTTGGTACAGCTGCCTTCTTCACATATCACTGTTGATGAGAACTCCTTCTAGAAGGAAAAGATTCATTATTGTTGTTACTGTTCATAGAGGCCTAATTTCTTTTGTGTTATAGTTAAAGCCAGTGCCAGTAAACGTAACTAGGATAGCCCTTCTCAGTAAAATCTGACTTAAAGCACTCACTGCCTATGACAAAACTGATGGAAACAATGGGTCAAAGGGGTTTTAATATTCTCTTTCCTCAAGAACTGCTAACATACCCATGATGGCTTATTGTTTCCTTTGAAAATAAACAATATGACCTATTATGATTCAACCCAAACCACTTGTGAACCACTTGCTAAGAGCAAAAACTTCTTGCAGGTCTCACCAAGTGGGTACTGAGCACCCAGGTGGCACTTGAGAATGACTTCCACCCCTCCCCACTACTGCCATGAGTTCTTGGCTCTTTCTGTTTTTTCCCTTTCCTTTTAATGTCTTTTCTCTGGAGATCATGAAACATGGCTGTGAAGCGGTTTTTTATGATCCTCATTTTGCAGCATTGAGCAATTCTTCCAGAGTGTCCCAGTCTGTAGCTGAGAATTTAAAATTTTGTATAGATGTTTACAAAACCCCCACATTTTTAGTTTTTAATCCTGTTTGCACAAATGCACTCATTCTTAGAAGTGCAAATGGATGGATTTCAAGCTCTGGCTGGGCAATGTGCAGAGGAATACAGGCAGTAGGTACCCACTCTGAGCATTGCACCACAAAGGCTCAAAATACTTCCTCCACCCACCCATGCAGTTTCTTTGAGCAACTCACAGAAGAAAAACTGTCAAGAGGAACCCAAGTTGTAAGGGATCTAACTTCTGCTGTAAAGAGTGGGTTTTAATGATTTAAATCCCCTTCTCAGTAAGATCCTTACCTTCCTTATTTTTATACCTTCCGTATGGGGAAGCAACTTCTGGGCTTTGACTCAAGCTTCAGAAAAGCTAAGAGTGCTTCTTCTCTCTTTTGTTTTTGAAAGGAAAACTGAGTTTGACAGGTGGCTATCATGATTCATGTTTATTTAAAAAGTGAGTTTTGAGTGGGACGTGGGTTGATTTGCATTGGGACTTAGCTCAGTGCATATTTGGAATATGATTCTCTATGCTTTTGTTTGTTATTTTCAAAGACATGAAATGTTGTATCATTCTTCAGGTATGCCTCGGACAAGAAGAATTGTGAAGGCGACAATGCCTGCCGATGAGTTAGAACACCCCAGCAAAAAAAAGGGTTCAGGTGGAAAACAACAAAAGAGAAAATTAGAGAAAGAAGTAAGTATTATACCCTTCAAAGGACTAATGAACCTGGTGAAAACGAATGGTTTTGCAAGGATAAATTGCCATTGCAATGGAAATGGAGATTTTCATCTCTCCTTCCATTATTGATCAGTTGAGAGTCAGTGTGGCATAATGGCTGGACAGTTGGGCTGGGATTTAGGTGACCAAGGTTCTCTGGCAATGCCACTGCTTCCCACCAATAATGGAGCAGTAGGCCGACAGTGCCCCACTTACCTATTCACAGACTAAAACACTAGACAGTCTTGCAGAAGTGTCCTGAAACACTACCTATTTTCTCTCTCTCTCTCTCTCTCTCTCTCTCTCTCTCTCTCTCTCTCTCTCTCTCCCCTCTCTCTCTCTCTCTCTCTCTCTCTCTCTCTCTCTCTCTCTCTCTCACACAATAGAACCTGCTTGTTACTCAAAACATTTATTTATATATCCATCCATCCTGCCCCATTAGCCACAGGCTTCCTGGGCAGGTCACAAATCATGATGCCCGCTTTACAGCACCAAGTATTGGTGGAGACAGAAAGAGCCATAAAGCTGATATGTCTCAGAGATTTCAACAGAAGCGTTCAGAAGCCTTTGTACTAGTCACATAATCTGTAAGTCGTGCACTTTTGACTGTCTGTTGAACAAGCAAAGTGTACTGCACAACTTTGATAGCCCTCTTGAGAGAAGGCATACTTAACACAGTCTTCAGAGTGAGATTTCTGTTCTAGTTATGCTAGGCGAGTAAGGCCAATTTGCAGGAAGGACATTTTGCGTGGGAGGAAAAGGAAGAAATGAAACACTCTTGCCCACCTGGTGCCCTTCAGATTCTATGGACTTGAACTCCCAGTAGTCCTAACCATTGACGTTATAGTCTGAGGTTGGTGAGACTTCAAGGACACCAAGCTGGGGAAGGATGGGTAGATTGCTGGAACTGATGAACTGAGGTTTGTGACCTGCAGAGAAGGGTTTTCCCCCCTTTCTGTTAACTTTTTTTTTTAATTAGGAAGTAAGAAGGCATGGTTGCTGCTTTTTGTAAAAGCTCAACTCATGATTGGAACAAAGTCATCTTTTCTTTCCTCCATGGCTGGAAAAAGTACAGCTTCTAGGACAGTGGTGGCGAACCTATGGCACGCGTGCTGCAGCAGGCATGCAGAGCCCTCTCTGTCGGCACGTGAGCCAAGTCACCCCAGCATCACCCCAGCAGCCGAGCATCAGACAACAGCGCACGTAGGGGCCATGCGTGTGCTCGGAAAGGAGTAGCGGCGCCAGGCGATGATGTCACGAGTCGCAACTCATTAGCCGTGACTCATCCGAGCTTTCACATGGCCAGTCAGTGTGCTGCCAAGGATGGATGGATGGATGGATGGATGGATGGATGGATGGATGGATAGTTGCTTGGACTGGCTGTGAGTTTTAATACCTTCGTTTTTCTTAACACAAGATTTTAGCTTTGAGTTTTCTTATGTATGAAATGTTTTTCTGAACTAAAACCTCAGTATTCAGGTTTTATCGCAGTGTTGGCACTTTGCGATAAATCAGTTGGTTTTGGGTTGCAGTTTGGGCACTCGGTCTCTAAAAGGTTTGCCATCACTGTTCTAGGATGTCTGCTGTGCCGTGCCTTGCCGTGCCTTCCACCCTTTGCAGAAAACACCATTTTTGATGGCCCAAACATTCCTTTCTTCCTTGAATTTCTGCTTGTGCCATGACTTGTAAAGAAAGATAGGGTCAGTGATGGTATAAGTAATAGGTTTGGTTAGTAGTCCAAGCAGTGAAAATTCATTGACCATTGCACTGCATGTAACTATGTTTGCCTATTATATCATCTCTGTTGCCCCATGTGCATTGGCTACAGCTACTGTTTATTTGCTACCAGCTATAAAGCTCTTATCACCCGCTTATCCATCTCTTCATATCTGACCATGACTATAAATGGATCTTCATAGAAGTCATCAGAAAGCTTGTTCAGTCCAGTTTTGTCCAGTCTAGTTCATTTGCTGAAACTCTAGCTGACTGAAGGTCAGGGAGAAAATGCTAGACATTCCCACCCCCACCATTGAGACTCCCATTATAGAGGCAATTGAGGGTAGATACATAGAAACAGACGGAAATGGAGAGAGCCCTGTGGCAAATGTTCCTTGTACAGGGGTCCAGTGCTTTGCAAGGCTCCATGGTGGGCAGCAGAGAAACAAGGCTTGCATTTACCATCACTGCATCTTTATAATAAGCGTAACATAGCTGTGAATGATTGATCTGTTTCTCCTATGTGAAAACACTGTTACTAATTGCTCAGAGAAGAGGGAGAAACATGAGAGATATTTGTAGCATAGTACGTAGTCTGAGGCATAAAAGGCCACTTGCTTATTTGTGTGTCATGCTTCGCCCTTGTGCTCCCACTTGTAGCTGAATGTCCCATGGTGTGTTTGAGTACCTTCAAGGATTCTGAGAAGACTGGTGTTAGCAATATGTTCTCCCTACATTTGTCATAAGGCTAGGCTTTTTGTGCCAAGTTTGCCTTTGTGTGCACAGCATGAGCTTGAAGTTATAAAGGCCCATGCCATTAACACTATCATCTGAAATAGTGGCTCCCAGTCAGTAGTTTGGTGATGGTGTGCCATCGTTGGCCATGGATTTAGTTGGATCCCTGGTAATGGAGTAAAAGGTAGAGGGAGTAAGTTTTGGAGGCACATTGAGTTTAATGGAAATGTTTATTTGTACCAGCTCTTTTGCTGCTGCAGCTTAAAGCTATCATCATAGTTTGACTCAGTCTGAAAGACTTTAAGATACTGGTGAACACCAGCAAAAGATTCCTTTGAGCTCAAGAGGGGCTTCCTCCGAAGTTAGTAAATGTCAATTTTCAATCTCAGTTCTCTTTCTCTCACAACACTTCCTACTTTTGACTTCTCCACTTAGCACAAAGTGTCCTTGGTGAGCCATTGGTGCCAGCGATTCAATTCGAAACTGGTATAAATGGAGCATACAGTGCAATTTAACAGCAGTGAGCACTGAAAGAGTGATCTCAAGGAATTTGAAATTGTGTACAGCTAGAATGAATTAGCCACTAGAGGGTGGGGTTGTTACACAGATACGAAAACCATGAGCGAGAAAGCCATATAGTCTAATAAAGGAGAAGACATATTCAGCAGCACTGAAATATTATTGAAAAGTTTAGGAAATCGTCTACATACTCTTTTAATGGGGAGAATCTATATGCTATTCTGTCATCATTCATGAAAGTTTTTTTTAATTGTCCTATACCTTTTTGACACTGCACATCTTTGACACTGCACATCACCTGCCCTATCAAACTGTCATAACAGGGTTATTTTGGTTATAGACTAGTAGAATGCAGCATACAAATAGAAAAATATTACAATGAAATATTTATAATAAAGCAGGTAAAAACAACATGAGTAAAATACTTAGGGACTTAAAACGCAATAAAATCAGTAAGTGAAATAAAAGAACCCAAACATAAAATTAGATCATTATGATTAATACCCACTAATTTCAAATTGCATAGATTTATTGCAGCTGGACAAAAGCTTGCTGCTTTTATGGTGACTTTTGGGTCATGATTTGGTAGTGAATATGTTAGGTGTTGTTCATCTGCTGTCCCTGAGAACCGTTGTGTAATGGGCATTAAAGGGAATGCCACAAGTTCTGATTAAAAGTCCAGTGTAGCAAAACTTGCTGTGCAGTTTCCACTTCTCCCTTCCTGCAGAGGCACATCCATTCCTAGTATCTCAGTTTCATGGGATGACTCCAGGTTCCATTGTTAAAGGAGAGTGAGAAAAATGTCTGTCTGTCCACTTTTTCCATACCATGCATTATTTTAAACACTATCATATCTTTCCTTACTTTTTTCCTAAGCAAAATAATCCCAGCTGTTGTAAACATTCCTCATAGGGAATTGCTCCAACCCCTTCATCATCTTAGTTGCTCTTCTCTGCACGTTTTCTAATTCAGTAATGTTCTTTTTCAGATGCAGTGAGGAGAATGGAACACAATATTGCACCAAAGATTTGTATAACAGGAGTGCCATCTTAGCAGTTTTACTTTCGTAATTATGCCTAAAATGGAACTTGCCTTTTCCACAGAGCTGTACACGGAGCTAACATTTTCATCAAAGTGTTCACCACAACCCACCACAGTCACAAGATTTCTTTCTTGATCATTCACTGCTAGCTCAGATCCAATCAGCTTATATTTGAAGCTGGGGGCTTTTTTGCCTCAACTTGCATCACTTTATATTTGCTTACGGTGAACTTCATTTGCCATTTTGATGTTTGCTCTTTCAACCTGGGGAGGTCCTTTTGGAACTCTTCACAAGCCTGTCTGTTTTAGTCACCCTAAATGGTTTGGTGTCTTCAGCAAACTTGGCAAGTTCATTGCTTACTCTAATTCCAGATCATTTGTGAATACTTTAAAAACCATTGGTCCCAATGGTGAACTCTGTGGGACCCCACTGTTTACATCTCTCTTTTGAGGGAAATTAAATTTTATTCCCACTCTCTGCGTTCTATTCTTTAACCAGTTACTGATCCCCTAAGATGACCCTTCTCCTTTCTCCATAACTATTAGGTTTGCTCAGGAGCATTTCATGAGGGACTTAGTCAAAAGCCTTTTGAAAGTTCAAGTAAACAATGCCTGCTGAATCACCCCTGTCCATGTGCTTATTAACTCTTTCAAAGAACTCTAATAATTTATTGAGGCAGTACTACCTTTGCGGAAGCCATGTTCATTCTTTTTCAACAAAGCTTTACTCTCTATGTACTTACGAACTCTTATCTTTAATAACACTTTCCAGAACAGATGTTAAGCTAAGTGGCCTTTAATTTTCCGGGTCTCCTTTAAATTATTCATTAAATTGGCTATTCCTAGTTCTGCATCTCCCTTGTGCTGGCTTGTCCTCACTTTTGTTTTCCTGATTTGTGCAAGATTTCAATTTCTTGAAGGAAACCTTTTTCTCTGTAATAGCTTTCTTGACTCTACTTAACTATGCTGGTGATCTCTAGGGCTTCATGCTACCTTTTAATTGGTGGCATGCATACTATTTGTGCTTAAATAACTAAATAAAATGAAGTTACCATAGCTTTTACATAAGCCAGAATGTGAGTGTGCTGTATACATTAATTCTTTTCTGCATATTTTTACAGCGGAATGCACAAGCAGTCCCGAAAAAGAAACAGCAGAGAACAGAATTTGCTGAAGGTATTAAATGGTTTTTACATTTTTCTTATCTTTGTATAATTAAAATAATTTTCCTGGTTCCACATTCAAAAACACTAAATAGTATCCTGAAATCCATTATTTTAAAGACATAATGATTGCAGTAAAGTAATTTAGAAAAACATTGACCTAGATGATAGTTGGCTCTGACATAGTTGTGGCCTAGAGAAAGTGTATATTTACTATTGATAGGTTCTGGCTTCCCTTCTCAGCAATTTACAGTGTTCTTGTTGCTGTGGGATTTATCACTGTGCTTAAAACATAAGGTTACAGCAACGAACAAGTCCACTTTTCATCAATTGTTATTATATAGAAGACCGCAAACTTTTTCCTTTGATTTTTATATGTAACAGCCTGAAAATATCTTGTAAGTGCAAATGATAAAGAGCTTCTTAGCACATTTAGGGATTGATCCTATGGAGACTGGGGAAGCCAAGATATGAAGAGTTGTGAAGTCACTGTACCCTTTTTTCCTCTATGTTCTTTTCCATCACAACTGCTATCAGTAGATGGTAGGAAACAAGCACCTGGCAAAAACATAGAGCAAGAAATGTGGGAAGACCAAGATGGCTCCTGCTGCTTTGCGTTAGTGGCCAATATGCCTCCAGTTCTGGCACAACTCAGCATATGAGGGCCCAGGCTTGCACTAGAGAAGCCAGTTGCCTCCTTCTTCCCACCCTTGGGGGGATGGAACTTGCCATTTCTTAGTAAGGGGGGTGGGGTGGAACAGATTCCAGTTCTTTCAGTTACTCCTATGACACATCCAGATTGCAATTGCTAAGTGTATCAACCTTGGACCCCTTCATGGATCACTGCCTTGCCATGGCGGCTTGCGTAGCTCAAATAAGCTATGAGCTAAGCTGTGTAGGGGCACCTAAGACAGAAAGGTCATAGTGGAGAGCTCTGACAAAACGTGATCCACTGGAGAAGGAAATGGCAACCCACTGCAGTACCCTTGCCATGAAAACCCCATGGACAGTACCAAAAGGCAAAAAGATATGACGCCAGAAGATGAGCCCCTCAGGTTGGAAGGTGTCCAATATGTTACTGGGGAAGAGCAGAGGGCTAGTACTAGTAGCGCCAGAAAGAATGAAGCCATTGGGTCAAAGCCAAAAGGACACTCAGTTGCGGATGTATCTGGTGGTGAAAAGAAAATCCGATGCTGCAAAGATCTATACTCCATAGGAACCCGGAATGTAAGATCCATGAATCAAGGCAAGCTGGACGTGGTCAAACAAGAGATGACAAGACTGAACATCGACATCTTAGGAATCAGTGAACTAAAATGGACAGGAATGGGGGAATTTAATTAAGATGACCATCAGGTATACTACTGTGGGCAAGAATCCCTCAGAAGAAATGGAGTAGCCTTCATAGTCAATAAAAGAGTAGGAAAAGCAGTACTGGGATACAATCTCCAAAAGGACAGAATGATCTCAGTTCGAATCCAAGGCAAACCATTCAACATCACAATAGTCCAAGTCTATGCCCCAACCACTGGTGCTGAAGAGGCTGAAGTTGACCAGTTCTATGAAGGCCCACAATACCTTCTAGAAATAGCACCAAAAATGATGTCTGTATCATCATGGGAGGATTGGAATGCTAAAGTAGGAAACTGAAAGATAACCAGAATATCAGGCAAGTTTGGCCTTGGAGTACAAAATGAAGCAGGGCACAGGCTGGCAGAATTTTGTCAATAGAAACATAGAAACAGAGCGAGTCAGAAGGGGCCTCACCAGGCCATCTAGTCTGACCTCCGGCACCAGCCGGCTCCGCTCATGACATGCCCACCATGTGCATTTCCACACATTGGAATCCCAGACCATCTTATCTGTCTCTTGAGAAACCTATATGCGAGTCAAGAAGCAACAGTGAGAACTGGACATGGAACCACTGAGTGGTTCAAAAGTGGGAAAGGAGTACGGCAAGGCTGTATATTATCACCCTGCCTATTTAACTTATATGCAGGGCACATTATGCAAAAGGTAGGGCTAGATGAATCACAAATTGGAATTAAGCTTGCAGGGAGAAATATCAACAACCTCAGATATGCAGACGATACCACTCTAATGGCAGAAAGTGAAGAGGAACTTAAAAGCAGAGGCATCACCCTGCCAGCACAAGTGCGTATCATCAAGGGTATGGTTTTCCCAGTTGCCATGTATGGCTGTGAAAGTTGGACCATAAGGAAGGCTGAGCACTGAAGAATTGAGGCCTTTGAATTGTGCTGACGGAGACTCCTGTGAGTCCCTTGGACTGCAAGGCAATCAAACCAATCAGTCCTAGATGAGCTCAGCCCTGATGCTCTTTAGAAGGCCAGATACTGAAGGAAGGACTCCCTGGAGAACAGCCTAATGCTGGGAACAATAGATGGCAAAAGAAGAAGGGGATGGCAGAGGATGAGGTGGATAGATGCAGTCACTGAAGCAGTCGGCGTGAGCTTAAGTGGATTCTGAGGGATGGTGGAGGACAGGAAGGCCTGGAGGAATGTTGTTCATGGCGTCGTGAAGGGTCAGACACGACTTCGCAACCAGCAACATCATCCTAGCTAGCTGAGGTGTGCTGCTTATGGGCCATCTTTCAGTCTAAGCATGCATGTCTAAACTTTTATGGAGTTATTCTCTTAGATTTAGGATGGATCTAAATAAGCACAAAATATTTAGGTATGTTAATTTTGAGGTGGGAAGAAGAGATCATTTAACATTTACAAATAAATACCTTGCACTTTAGAAAGATAATTATTTTAAAAAGCGATCTTGCTATCATAAATGCATTTTATAGACCAGCATTCCAACCCAGCCTAGCCATGACACTGACGAACCCTCTCACATTTTGCATCAGCAGCAACTTCTGTGTCCACAAAAGTAGTGCGAGTGACTCCAAACCAAAGAGCAGAATGGCAGCCGCTCTCAAAGAGCACTAGAGAACACTTGGAATCCATGATGCATTGGTTAATAATGTAAGTACCAGGGACCTCTCTATACCAATATTACATTGTTTCCCTTGAGAAGCTTCACCTATTCTGACAAAGGTATTTGTCCTCAGCTCTCAACAAAGAGCTAAGTAAAAATGCCTTTGGGAATGAAAAGGTGTTAAGCAATCTAATTGTTAGGTGAGTATTAATTTATTAAGAGCTTAATTCATGTAAGCACTGAATTACTGGATCAAACCAAGATCTGTGTACCCCTCAGATCCCTCTTTAGGCATGCATGGATCTTGTGAAGCTTTGTCCAATCTGAACAGAGTTATAACCTCAGATACTAATTCTAATACAGAAGGAAAATCTGTAGAGTCAGGCCTTTCCATTGGAAACCAGAGGACTGAGAATGCTGTCCTGTCAGGCCTTCTGCAGGCTAGCAAACAGAGAGAGGTAAGGTGCTGGGAACTGACATGGCCTGCCTTCCACAGCTGGAAGATTTGATTTTGATGAAAGCCCCTAAGTCTTACCCAGGGACCTGGTTCCTTGGAACAGGAGTGGATGTTTTGGGGGTGTTTTTTTTTGTTTGTTTTGCAGAAGAGAGCAGTGCAAATCTTTGGCAGCCATTCTGCAGTATTTAAACTATTTTAGCCTTTGCAAGAGACACCATATTGGAAACCCGGTGTAAAGGAAAATTTCTGGAAGACTTTTGTATACCGAGGGGATAGGTGGTGTAACACAATTTTCCTCTGATTCCTACCTTGACTGGGCCTCACCTTTGGAGACTCTGTTGAGGTCATCTGGCAAGCCGCTTGCTAATTAGGATGCTACAGCATTGGAATGCAGAAAAGTAAACAGCAGAGCTTATCACCGTGAGAGCTGGGAACAGCAGATGTGGCTAGTTAACTGTTTGGACTCTTAGATTTAAGAGAGGGAGAAGCCTTGCGACCCCACCGGAGCGAGTGCTAGTGTGAGATCGAGCCGAGCAAGGAGGGTAACACGTCGGCAGAGAATTAGGATCTTTTTCCTTGTCGTTCGCACGGGGGCGCTCCCAGTGGCTGATAGAGGGGAAGCCAGCTTATTTGGCATTGTATTTCCTTTTTCATGTTATTATGTCTGTTTGCCTGTTTTAGAATAAAATTTTTTAGACCTTAATCCGCCTGTGTGCACATTGCTTCTGGATCCAAAAAGAACCTTTTGCCCTTGGCAAAACACCCAGAAAGTTTTTTGCTGCCTTTGGAGCTATGAATTTAATGAGACATAGTCTGTTTGCTGCACTTTGAGTGCTTGCCTCTCTGTTGTAATGTTACAGAAATAATTTTTGCCTGGGACTTTGAGAGAGCCAGTGTGGTGTAGTGGTTAAGTGTGTGGGACTGGGACTCAGGAGATCTGGGTTCTAGTTTCCACTCAGTCGTGGAGCTCTCTCTAGCCTGTCTCACAGGGCTGTTGCTGTGAGGGAGGAGGAAAAATACCTAAGCCACCTTGAGTTCCTGGAAAGAAAAATGGTGGGACATAAATATAATAAATACATCATCTGTTTCTGTGGATCTGTACTGCTCTAAAGGCTGATAACTAATTATTAACATTACTGCAATTTATTTATTTAAAACATTTGTAGGCCATTACCGAAGTCTCGGGACTGTTTAACACTACAAAATGTAAGAAAAGAAAGGGAATTATTATTTATTATTAAATGTTTCATTGGAACTCTTTCCTAGACTCTGAGAAGTCAGGCTCTACCAGAAGGCAACCTGCACACAGTGAAGAAGAAATGTCCTTCTAAAGTCACCCCACTCACATCACAAGACACAAACACATGCACAGAGTCACCACAGGACAGGTTTGTGTAGGTGCAAGGATACCATAGTGCCCTCTAAAATATCAGCTACATTAGTACAGCAGCCAAAATGTCTTTAGAGCTCAAGTTTCCTTATCCCATATAACCACCCTTTTGATCACTCAATGCAGGGAACTTAGTTTATATCTTACTGAATCTAGAGAAAACTACACTTTTTCTTTTTCTTAAAACTACCTAAACTATTGGCATATAAGTTTTATAGATAATATCGCAGAAGCTAAAATATGACCACATGGTGCCCTCTGAAAATTCCTACATTAGCCTCCTCCCTGCCTCCAGTTCCTGTAGTAGCATCTGCCCTTCAAACCCCTCCACGGTCCCCATCTCTCTGCTCTTATATCACAACACATTCCTTCCTATGTCCTTTGCTCATGCAGTTCTATCTCTATTGGCCATCTGAAGGTCTCATGCCAGTCTCTTCTGAAATATGTGAATGTTCTCTTCTAGAGCCTTGACATATTGCTCTTTGTTGGAAAGGCAGATAGAAATCAGCCTGCTTTGAATAGAGATCAGGAAACCAAAGGCAAGACAAAAGTCAGCCTAGTTCATACCACTAGTTCACACTTGGTGCACCTGCTTTGCAAATAAATCTTTTCCTGACAAACACTCCTCTGCCATTCTTGACAGTAGAATCAAGTTGAACCAACATTTTCTGTATGGGAGAAAGAATCAAGCAATACGTTGTTCTGTCTCCTTCCAGATCTATCTTGTATGAAACGCCAAAGAATCATAGTGAAGTTGAAAAGCACTTAAACCTGCTCAAGAACAGGTAATTAATATAGTATAGCATAACGGGGAAAAAAATAAAGACCTGAGGATGTTTAAAATGAATTCAGCATGTTTACATGTGTAAATAGTCCATTGAGTTCAATCAGTTTTAATTCCTGGTGAGCACCCCTGAGACTGCATGCTTAACTACATTCACACTTCCTTCACTTCCATTGTACCCTGGAAACAAATTTTAGAGATTTTAATTCATGCACAAGAAAATCAAGTGAAAGTTGCAAGATGATGTTTGATCTTATGTCTCATTAAGTGTGTATGCTTATTATTTATTTATGTATGTCTTGGGTCCTCAAACTACAGCCTGCGGGCTGGATCAGGCCCGCCATGCCCATTGATCCGGCCCGCCATAGCTCGCCATGCGTGCGGCAAGGTGCCGGCTTGCTCACAAGGAGATCATTGTGGACTCACTCGGAGAAAAGTATCTCCTTGCGAGCAAGCCAGCACCTTTCTGGGAGATCCTTTTCTCTGAGCAAGGGGAAGATCGTTTTGGACTCATTTGGAGAAAAGGATCTCCTTGCAAGCAAGCCGGAGCAAGCCGGCCCTGAGGCGCCAGCTTGCTTGCAAGGAGATAGTTTTGAACTCGTTGGGAGAAAATGATCTCTGCACACGCATGCCCCTGCCTTTCTGCGTGCGCTCACATGCGCCCCCCCCAGCTTGTGCCCCCTGCCCGCACCGCCTTGGCAGCCCACACCCATCCCTGGCACCTTTCAACTGGCCCCCTGTTCAGAAAGTTTGAGGACCCCTGATATGTGTATTTCATTTTATCTCTGTAGCACCCAATAGCCAAAGCTTTCTGTAGAGCACTTAGTGCAAGAAGAGGCAGTATCCCACTTGTTATGGAAGATGGGGAGGGGCAGTTTGTGTGATTGAGGCCCTTTACATCCTTGGCAATTCAGCATTGGTATTTCAGAGGATTCTTGAAAATTATTTGCTCTCTCAATTCTGAGTTTAGTCTTCTCCAGGAAATATGAAAGGCCCCAAAAAGACTCTCTTATGAAGTGAAGGAAGTGTGCGCCTTTTGGTTGTTTGCTAAGTTGTATAAGCAAGGCTTGTCAGAACTGTAGGTTTCCCTTTGCCAGCATCTTGTACATGGATTACTCAAAACCTTTAAGGCTTATAGCACCATAATAGAATTTAGAGTACTTGATTTGATATTAGAAGAGCTGCAACCACTACTGCCCTCTCAGTGACCAGGACTAGGACTTGTTTAAGTGATAATTAATGTGTTCTTAGTAGATCCCATCTAGATCAGGTTGAACACCCTAATCAAAGCAATCACCCACCAACAGCAGCTCAATCTTGTCTGGATTAAGTTTCAATTTGTTAGCCCTCATCTAGTCCACTGGTTTAGCACATCCACAGCCTCACCTGCTGTTGATGGAAAGGCAAGATAGAGTTGTTTCTCAGCAGCAGCACACTCCAAAACTCCAGATGACCCCACTCAGTGTATTCATGCAGGTGTCAAATAGCATAGGGAACAGAACAGACTCCTGAGGAACTCCCAAGTATCAATCAGCAACAAGCATTAGAATGACTATCACCACCAAACTATTCCAGTTAATCCCCACTTACAGGATACTTCAGCAACTTTCCAGGGAGAAGAAAGATCCACAGTTGTGGGCCAGCTGGCAGAAATATTTTTCTTGGTGCATGTGATGTCCAAAAACTGATATGAATATTATATAATTAAGAAGCTGTGTCAGCCAGTATGAGATATTGGGATGGTGCATTGGTGAACAAGTTCCTTCTTGAACATTAGGCCTAAGCTACTGAGGTTACAATTTCTAAGACAGTTTTGTAAGATAGTTATTAGTGTTAAACCAGTTGCACTAAATCCGGTATGACACAGCTCCCTTGCATAAATCCATATGCTACAATTTAACCTGTTTATTACTACATGTTGCTTATTTCATTTAACATTTTTCTCAAGGTTACTGCACCATTTTGAGAACCTGAGAGTACCTGTGCAGAAAGTGCGTAGTCAAAAGAAAAAGCCTAATATTGCAGCGGAAAAGGAAAAGAGTCTAATGTTAGAAGAAGGTTTGGCAGAACTGGAGGTAAGGAAGTATTATCTAAGTATTTGTATTGTTATTATTTGTATCTCATTTGTATGGCATATCATCTGAGAATAAACAGTGATCATTTCCATGAATAAAAGGGAATTCATGTGGTCTAAAGCTTACCACTCCCTCCAACATCCTTTCTCTGGCCTCTGTTTTTATTTGTTTAAAGAAGGGCACTATGAACCTGAAACCTTGCTCACAGGTTCTAACAATTACTGTTAGGGTTAGTTCCATGCCCTTGTGGCACCCCTTTCTGTTTTCTGATTGCAAATGAGTATTTTTTTGTACAAAAGGATTATTTGTTTTTTCTGAAAATCTCTAAAACTTGGTGCTCTCTAGTGATTAGCATACCAAACCTACTTCATGGTCTTTGTTGTCTTTTCATTCTCCAAAGAAAGAGAAAACTGGATTAAGGGTATTATACAGGACAAATAACCAGTATGCTAATATATTGTGTTATAATTAATATTTTATTATTGTTCAAACTTCTTCTGTTTGTGTGGCAAGGGATCATCTCATTCTGTTCTCCTCAGAATAGTTAGTCAAAAAGATGAAGATTACTGGCCTGCATCAACTTTGTCACTCATATATATAACAGTGGGAGTTTGCCCTGGTATAATATTTGCTCTGTGGATAATTCCTTGATTTACATGCATTCCTTAAGTTGCACTTTCTTTTTTGAATTCAGAATGAAATAGACAGAGCTTTGTCAGCATCAGAATTCAGAGACAAGCGTATTCAAAGTCTCCAGAACAAAGTACTTAACTTAAGATTTAAACTAAAAGCAATGCAAGCAAAAGCAGACAAGGTATTTCTGTATTTCTGTATAGACTTCACTACTTTAATACTTCAAAAATACTTAAGTGGTGTATATTAAAATGCATGTGTAATGCAACCTAAAAATTACAATTTTATAACAAGAATGTCAGTAAAACAGAATAGGGATCTCTCAGCAGAGCAGTTTCTCATGAAGCTTGGGTGTTCCAGAGGGTGGTTACTGCTACAAAGGAGGTTCACTTACAGGCTTAACCAGGTAATTTTCTATTGGTTGGGGAGCAACCAGTAAGTCTTCATCAGATGATACCAATGGGTGCAAGGGAGACTGCTAGATGTCCTGGTTTTTTAGAGCTTTTTAGGTTCAGAACAGTACCTTGAACATGGCTCAGCAGGTATCTTGAAAACAGATTTGGAACCTTCTCTGGGTAAGAAGAGTGTTTTATCTTGCTTCTGCATGACTTCAGGAAGGAGAAATGTATGACTGCTCAAAGTGTTCTCTCTCCTTGACACAGCAGTCTGAGAAAGATTGCTATTCAGCAATCTCCCACCCTACTCAGAATAAAGATTTAAGGGGCAATGATAGAGGCAGAATTTTATTCTTTCATATGTTCATGTTATACATTCCCTGCTTCTCTCTAGTTCTTCCAAAGAGCTGTCGATGGCAATCTTGCTCTCCCTGATATCCCAGTGGGCCATCTAAAAGCACCCATTCTTCAGGTGAGAAGAGGTTACTTGTGAACATCTCATCTTGCCAGACTAGCTTTTCTACTGTATGTCACAATAGGAGCAAACTATATATGACCAGTCCTGAAGAATGACATCTTGAAACACAGAAACAGTGATTAAATGGTACCTTCTAAATTGTTCTTTCATAGATGCAAATGCTCACTACTCTTTTATATTTTCTGCCTGATGTGCTCATAGAGTGTCTATATTGCTCTGATTACTTAGGTGAAAATCCTTTGTATTCTTCTAACTTCTTGAACCATCTGCCATTGTGTGTTCTACAGAATGAACTTTTGAAGATTGGAAACCAACAAGGTCTTCTTCATGATTTGAACACCATTCAGCAATCAGATGAAATGAAGACTATGTTATCTTTTCTAGAAAAGGCATATGAAAATGTGGTCTTTAGAATAAAGTGAGGTAGTACATGAATAATGCTCATTGAAGAGCAGAAACCTAAGCTGTAGCTCTTGTTTCTTTTATCTCTTATGGGTATGTGCAAAGAAGGATTTGAAAGGATTTTTTTTAATTTTCAGAACATGATTATGATTTCCTTAGGGTTATTTGTCTCTCTGGATTACACTCATGCATTATCCCAATGTGTTCCTTGGAGAGTTTTAAAATTTACTAACCTGAATATGAAGATACATGTTCTGCTTATTACTTTAATATTTTTGCTTGCATTGTGCCATCTTTCTTTTGAAACTTGCAGCAAGCTTACTAGGTGAATGCAGTATGCTACAGTTCCATTTGTGCAAAGGTGTGAAGAGCTTAGCTTCCTATGAAAGAACTGGGTATTGTAGCTTAAAACCTTCCTGGTTTTCATAAAGCTTATTTTTCCAGAGGCTCAAACTAAAGC